AAAGCCATAAAGCTTTGGGCCCCTTGGGCCCCTGCACCCACCTGAGAAACCCAGAAGAAGCTCCTGGCTCCTGGCTTTGGATCAGCTCAGCTCCGGCCATTGTGGCCATCTGGGGAGTGAACCAGCGGATGGGGGACCTCTCTCGCTCTCTCTCTGCCTTTCAAATAAATCTTTAAAGCAAAAAATCTCATCTCAACCTCCTCCTGTGCGCCCTGCTCCGTCCACTCTGTTGCTGCCAGCTTGCCCCCACCCCTGGCACAGGCTCTGTGAGTCTCCTACCCCACGCTAGGAGTGGGCGAGTGAGCGCCCGCAGACCAGCAGTACGGCAGCCCGTGAAATGCTGGATGGGACTCAGATCAGCATCTGCATTTGACCCCTAGATTCCCATGCACTTCCCAACCCTCACCAGTCCCCAGGTACACTCCTTAGCAAGCTGCCCCAGGTCCTGCCTCTGCGCTGTCCCCACGTGGTCACCACAACACACAGCTTCACCACACACACCACACTGGTCCCCGCCTCATGCCCCAGCCCAGAATGCTCTTCTGCCCACTGTCTGCTGCACAGCCTACCCCCCCAACCCCATCAGCAGTCACTTCCTTCCTGCCTGTGGTTCCCAGCACTGCCATCTCCCCAGGGCCTGGAAGTTCTCTGTGCGCCCATCCCCCTCGTCACCTGCCTATCCCCACGTTCAGCCCCCGTGAGTCAATGTCGCCTTCGCTGGAGGACTGAACCAAGCGGCTATCACAGGGCGGCTGCAGGTCGGAGCTGAGGAACTCGCAGAAGGGGAACGGAGCAGGGCGAGTGTACCAGTGGTGTCACCCTCAGCTGGGAAACTTCCCCAGCGCAGTCAGCAACCCACAGAGCGTTACCTCCAAGGGGACTTTCAAGACCTGGTCACCCACCCAGCACCACAGAGCCAAACTTCTTTGCCCAAGGACATCCTGCTGGCTAGGGGCTCCGGGCAAAGCTGGGGCAGATGCCCACCTCATCCCACGAACTTCCTCCCTTCCTACCCACCCTAACTCCCTGAAGGAAGCTACCGTGCCCTAAGGGAGTCAAAGGAGCCCCTTAAAGCACCTGCTGGCGGGGGGGGGGGCTTGCCAAAGCCCTAGCAAACCGCAGAAGGAAGCGAGGACCCCCATTCTACAGATCGCCTGACTGAGGCCGGCTACCCACAGGGGCAGTTTGCCACCGAGTGCTGTCTTCTTCCTGCAGAAGCCAAAAGTCCCCCAAGTGCCGTCACTGCCGACCACAGTCAGGACCATCCAGCTCCTCCGGCGAGGGGAATCCCCTCCCGCCCCCCAGCTCTTTCACACAGGCCTCCATCCAGCTCGCAGCCGCGGCCGCCTTAGGAAAGAACCTGTCCTCCCACGGGCGAGCCAGCCAGGCCTGCTGCGGAGACCACCGCCGAGTCATCACCTTGGGCGGGGAAACCACCCTTCCCCGTGCGGGCACTCGACAGGCGCCGGCTCAGCTCCGCCGCGAGGCGCGGGCTGCGGTCGGAGCCCCAGACCGCACTCCGCCACCTTCATATCGGAGCCGGGAAGCGGCAGGGTTGGGGCAGAACCCGGCTGCGTCCCACTTCAGCGCTCCGCCCTCCGGCCACGCCAGACCCCCCCCACCCCCCGCGCGCCAGGTAGACCACCTGAAGCCTCTCACTGGCTGGGCTGCCTCGGGAAACTCACTTAACCTCTCCGAACGCGCCCAAGGTCAGAAGCTGTGCTTTGGCGGGAGAAAAAAAAAAAAAAACGTATGCAACCGAAACGCAAAGTCCAGGGCGCGGGCACGGTGCTCTGCTCCGAACCCGGCCAAGGGCGAAGAAGCACGGTCGCACCCCCCCGCCCCGCCCCGGCCTCAGGCTCCGGCGACACCGTGCGCCAGGCCAGCCAGAAGCGAAACCCCATCACCCTGCAGCCTCCCCCGCTCGGTTCCGGGAACCGGCCGGCCAGACTTCGCGGAAACGCGCCGGCGGCAGCGCCCCGGCCCCGGGACCGTCCCTCCGCGGCGCGGGGGCCGGCGCGGTCGGGCCCGAGCAGCAGCGCGACGCGCGCTTCCGCCCCGCTCGGCTCCGGCGGCGGCCCCACAATCCCCTTCTGGCTCCGGGGACTGGCGGGGCGGGGCGGGGCGGGGCGGGGCGGGCCGAGCGTGCGGAAATAATTTTCTGTTTGGCCGCGTCTGCCCTCGTCCCTTCGCGGCGGGACGCGGGACGCGGGAGCGGGAGCGCGCTGCCCCGGCACGCTCGGTGGGGCAGGGCTCCCACGCCCACTGTGTGCCCCTGCGCTCCACAAAGGGGCTTTCGTTCGGCTTCGCTCCGGCCCTCGGCAGAGGGGCGTCCGCGTCCCACGTACAGAAGGGGACACCGAGTGGCCAAGTCGCTCGCCCACAGCCGCGAGGACCGCAGCAGGGCTCCGTCACGCCCAGGGGCGCGCGGTGGACTCGATCCACTTGTTGGTCAGGTCCTGCCCCTGCTGCTTTTGGAGGACGGGCGCTCGGGGGACAAACGCTAGAAGCAGGAGAATGCGCTCCACAGCTCCGCCTGGGTGCCCGCGGCGAACCCCACGAGCCCGCGGGCCGCCGGCTGTCCTCGGACCTCGGCGGGGCACCTGTGCGGGCGGCCGGGCCCTTTGCAGGACCTCGGCCAGCGCGCGCTGGAGGAGCCCCATGGGAGTGCAAGGACCGGGTTCGAATCCCGGCGCGGCGACCCTCGGGCTGTGAGTCCCTTCATCTGTCGGAACCTCCGCTGCTCCATCCACAAAACGGGGCTATGGACACCCATCCCAAAGGATCGTGGAGCGAATTAAACGAAACACTTCTGCGAACACCAGACGCACTAGCGTCGTGGCCTGTCCATCCCGCAAGCCTAGGGGCGCACGGGGCACGAGTGTGCCCCCGAACAAGGGCTTCCCGGACCCTGCTCCCAGGTCGCACACCCCTGGGACCTGGGGACCTACGGGCTTCCTGGGGGACCCCTGTCCAGCGACACCCGGAACTGCGGCCGCTTTGGCGGCCGTCGGTCCCAAGAGCAAATATTCGGGTTTTCCGGAACGGGTGCGTAGCCAGGGCTGACATTTTTGCGTTTGATTTTCCGGCAGTTTGATTTTTGCCCTAAAGGTAATTCGTTAGAAACTCCTAAATCAGACTCTCTCCTCCGTGTCCTGCTCACGTGCGCACTTGACGAAGCTGACCAAGCTACGGGCGCCTGGCCATCCTCGCCGGGACCCCGGCCCCTCCTCCAGGCACAGGAGCAGACAGGTTTCTGCCGCTCCGCCTGCGTAGACGAGGTCTCTTCGTCCCGGCAGCCCTCCGGGATTCCCCTGGTCGGCCAAGACGGGAAGGGGGATGGGGAACAGGGCCTGGAGCCCGGAGCTCAGCTGCCCGGTCTCCCGCCTCGCGGGGATTAAGGGAGTAAATCCCCGACGCCACAGACCAGGTCAAGGACAAGTTCTCCCCCGCGCTCCTCCCCCCTCCTGGGCGGGGATTCGCCCCCCCCCGCCCGGATGAAAGGTACTAAAGAGGCGCGGGTGGGGGGCGGCGGGCCCTGGCCCCTTGATGTTCCGGTTGAACAGGTGCTGGTGAAAAGGAGGCGGGCCCGGCGGAAGGGCCTGCCGGGGGGCCGCGCGCCGAGGGGGGCGGCCGCCCGGAGGCCACGTCAGCCCACTGCCCGGAAGTCGGGGACAATTTTTTGGATGTAAATGTATAGTATAAAAAATAATCCTTTAAATCTATTATTGCTCTATCAAAGTCCTTTGGAATTGCAGTAGGCAATGGTAAACCTGGTTGTAAAGCCCCCATAAGTTCCACAGAAACATTAACAGCCCTAAGGCCTTGAAGCAAGCACTATCTCCCAGATTTTTTTTCTGATAACCAAATAGGCCTATTCCAAGGAGAATTAGAAGGAACTATATGTCCTGCTGTTAATTGTTTTTATTTTTTACCAATATCTGTGCAGCATTTATATTTTCCTGCAGTAAAGGACACTGATTCACCCACACGGGACTATCTGATTGTTATTTTATTTGAATTTTTGAATGGGGCACAGGCTGACCAGGAGCCATCAAGGGTAACCCTAGCCTCTCTGGTTATGATTGACAGTAATAGTAACTGGAGATGTGATGCTTTGTAGTTGTTTGCCTAAACCCTTACCTGGCAAATGACCTAGTTGAAGAATGTTAATGGTAGACGATCTCACTCTGCACTATGATTAACGACCCCCATTTGAGTTACGAATATGACGTCTCCAGAGATA